CGTGGTGGCACGGCCCCCACCTTCCTGGCCCCGGGCTGAGGACCAGGGTCTGTGCTCAGGGTGGACCCGGGCCGGGCAGCCCACTCTCCCTGCGGGTCCCCCGTGCCCACGTCCGTGGTGATTTTCGCGTTTATTTCCGTGCCAGGTTCTCGGCCCCTCCCAGGAGGACTGGCACAAGTGGCAGCTGGCCCTGGGGAGCCAGACCCCCGCAGATGCATCGGACCCCGGGACGGGAGCACCAGGCACCATGTGAGGGCCCCTCCCCTGCCCGGCTGGGGCCCCCGGGCAGTGGGTGCAGGCTGTCCAGAGACCCCTGTCTTTGCACCGTCCAGGCCACAGGACCCCCCGAGCGGTGTGACCACCGGTGTGGACCAGGGCAAGGCCCCCACGGGGCTGGCCGAGGCGCTGGACAGGCCAGCAGTCCTCCCTGGTGAGTGTGACGCACAAGCACGGTCCCAGGTCCCCCAGAAAGTGCGGGGACATGGACTTGCTGCACCCGCTCACCCCTCCTCACCCCTGTGTCCGGCTCCCCGAGAGCAGCCCCCGCTCTGCCAGCTCCTTGGCTTCTCTGTTCTGTAGGAGTGAGTCATGGACCCCAGGCTGTTCCCTCCCCCACATGGGGCCTTCGTTTCCTGTCCCCCCCCAAGCCCACAGGGTGCCCTGAGGCCTGCGTCCCCCTCATGTTGGACCCTGCCCAGCTGTCTGTCACTCTTTGCACCGTGGCCGCTGGTGGCAGCATTTAAGCTGCCCACATGCGTTTGCCGTGTGTCGTTGTGCCCAAGTGCCACGGAGGCGAGACCGCGCCTTCCCACTCCCTGAGTGTGCCCACCGAGGGGGGGTCTGCTGTGGGCAGACGGGGGCCACCAGGGAGCTGCAGGACCCGCACAGAGGACACAGGGTGGAGAGGCCGCTCAGGGAGCTGCTGTGAGGGTGGTGCCAGGTCAGGGGTTGCGGGCACGTGGAGGGGGGGCGGCAGCACGGGCGTCTCCAGGTCCGAGCCCCACAGGCTGGCCTGAGGCCAGGTGGGCACCGCCTCCAGGAAGCCTCCCTGGCCGCAGGCGTCAGGTGCCTCCCTCTGGGCGTTCACCTGGTTACCTGGTCACCTGCCTGCCTCTGCTCTGAGCCCCGTCCTGGGCAGGGCTGAGGTCTTCAGGGGAGGCCGCTCCCCGGGGGGGAAGGCTGGCCCAGCCCTCACTTCTCTCATAGGGACCTCCGGTCTGGCACCCTGGACCCCAGGCCCGAGTCCCTCCCAGGTCCTGAGGCCGCCCCCAGCCTGGCCTCCCTGCTCCTGGCAGCCGACCTCCCCGCTGGTGAGCGAAGAGGCTCAGAGCTGCCTGGGCCTGGCCGGGCCCCTGACAGAGGAGACTACCCAGGCTGCGATGCCCGGCACCAGGTGGGTCCCCTGCGGGCGTGTGCCTGCCTGTGTGTGCACATGTGTGTGCTGCCTATGTGTGCCCGCATACGTGTGCCTGCCTGTGTGTGCACATGTGTGTGCTGCCTATGTGTGCCCGCATACGTGTGCCTGCCTGTGTGTGCACATGTGTGTGCTGCCTATGTGTGCCCGCATACGTGTGCCTGCCTGTGTGTGCACATGTGTGTGCTGCCTATGTGTGCCCGCATACGTGTGCCTGCCTGTGTGTGCACATGTGTGTGCTGCCTATGTGTGCCCGCATACGTGTGCCTGCCTGTGTGTGCACATGTGTGTGCTGCCTATGTGTGCCCGCATACGTGTGCCTGCCTGTGTGTGCACATGTGTGTGCTGCCTATGTGTGCCCGCCTGTGTGTGCACATGTGTGCCCACATGAATGTGCTGCCTGTGTGTGCGCCCTCCAGGCCTGCCACGGGAAGGTGCTCCCCTCGCTCCCTCACTGTGTGGCTGCCTAGGCCAGGTCAGCCAGGCCGGGCCCTGTGGCTTCTGACGTGTGTTTTTGAAAACACTCTCCTCTGACTAAGGCACTCAGGGTGGGGTCTCCTTGCCACCCAGGTCCGTGCCCACATGTGGAGTGGAGGACGGGCCGTCCTTGCTGCTGAGCGCCAGTCCCGAGTGGTGTCTGGGTGAGTGGGGACGCGGGCGGCCTCCTACCCCCATCTGGGCCGGCTGTGGGCCTCGGCCCTCCTGACGCGGGGCTGGGACGGTGGGAGAGTGACCGGGCCCAGCCTGCAGGGTGACACCGGGTCCCTGTGCCTGAGCTCCTGGGTCTCCTGGGCTGGGGCAGTGGAAGGTGCCTGTGGGAGTGTCTGAGTGAGAGAGAGCACGTGTGTGTGAGCATGTGTGTATGCGTGTGTGAACGTGTTTATGAGTGTGAGCGTGTATGTGAGTGTGTCTCAGTGTGTGAGAGCGTGAGAGTGTGTGTGAGCATGAATCTGTGTGTGTGAGCATGAGTGTGTGTGTGTGTGAGCATGAGTGTGTGTGTGTGTGAGTGTGTCTGTGTGTGTCTGTGTGTGTCGTCTGTGAGTGTGTGTGTGAGTGTGAGTGTGTCTGTGAGTGTGTGTGTGAGTGCGGCTGGGCTGGGTGTGTGTCCCGTGCGTCGGCCTTGGTGCCCTCTGTCTAGACTGCGTCCCCACGAGGGCACGAGGGCTTGTGCTGAGCGGAGTGTCTGTGGGTTCAGTGTGTGTAGGAAACGCCACCTGGGCCTGGCCCCACGGGTCCTCCTGGGCCCTGAGCGGGGCCGGCAAGTGTGGGCCCGAAGTCAGCCCTGGCCCCTCGCGGTGCCATCTCATCGGTGGGCAAAGGGCTTCTGAGTGGGTGGGCAGGGATGGGCCTCTGCCCACTCCCCCGCCCGGCACCTGCACTGTCTCCTTCCAGGGCCCCCCGAGGGCAGAGACAGTAGTGCCCCCTCTGGGGCCCCGGCCTGGAGCCACCTGGAGATGTGGGCTGCCCCAGCCTGACCTTCCGGGACGAGGTGGACAGCATCTTCCCCGACTTCTTTGCCTACTAGGCGGCCGGGACGGGCCTCCGCAGCAGCAGGTGCTGCCT